CTTCATGATAAAAGTCTTGGAAAGATCAGGAATTCAAGGCCCATACCTAAACATAGTAAAAGCAATTTGCAGCAAACCAGTAGCCAACATCAAGCTAAATGGAGAGAAACTTGAAGCAATCCCACTAAGATCAGGGACTAGACAAGGCTGCCCACTCTCCCCCTACCTATTCAATATAGTACTGGAAGTCATTTTCATTTTTTAAAATTTTGTATCAAAAAGCACAGTCATCATAAATGCAACATTTGATGACAAGAATGGCAACATTAGAAATTTCAGTGCAGTATTCTTTAAATATGATTATTTAATTTTAAGTGGTTGCAAATATATTTGTTCTGCATTTTTCTATATAAAATGTTTAACATATAATCTTAAGTTTCAGTATTACTTGGCAATAATTCTCTCTTCAAATATATAGAGAACTGTAATTTGGGGTATATAGATTTCTTAAGTAAATTTGTATTCTCCAATTAATTCAGAAATCCAAGAGACAATCAGCAACATTATTGGATTTATTCACCAGTGTTCTGTGTCACCATTACTAGGGGAAAAGGAAGAAATATCTACTCACTCCAAACCCTAAACCAAGTACTTTATTATGCCATCATACTTATTTGAAAAGTAACCACATTTAAATTTCTCATAATGAATATTTAATATCTATCTGATAGGAGCCCATCAATTGTGAATTGCCCTGGCATACACAGAACACTGATCTAGATTCCATACATCATTTCATGAAGCAAAATATCATTATACAAATAATCTGAAAAAGATATATTGTTACACATATTAAATATCAAACAAGAGATGAATAAAATATTTTACAGTAAAACTCTAAAAGGAAATGAAAAATGTTTTGTTTGGTGTGCTGACCATACTGAAGTGGAAGGCCATACACCCATCAATATATACACAGCACAAATCACAGTTGATAGTTTAAAAGAAAAGTGTGTGTGTGTGTGTGTGTGTGTGTGTGTGTGTGTGCATGGGTTGAGAAGAAAAGCTGTTGAGGAGTTGTCAGGAATATGAATGTAATCCAAATTTACAGAATGAAATTATCAAGGAAGCAAATTGGGAAATCATTAAGTTATATACAGTTCTAGACAACTGTATGTGAGCAATCCATACTTCAGAAGTTTGAAGATTTCTAATAGCTATCTCTTTTGACTTCTTATGTAAAATCAGCAAAAGAAACCTCTCTCAATAATGAATTATGAAAATTCTGTCAGATTGACCATTCAGAATGAGATCCCCATTCAAAATACAGAAGACGTCCTGAAAAGTGGTAAGTCACTGTACTTTGCTACTACAAATATTATTGATCTAAAAAAAGGAAGTAATGAAAAATTCTTGATTTACCTTTTTAGTTTAAAATTATCTTTAAAATTGGAAGAATTGTATAGGTAAATTATGTTTTTGCTTTGTAATATTTCACAGATATTTGTCCACAATGATGATATTTGTTTGGTGAGTTTAAAGATAATAAAACACTTTGAGTATTAAACTTCCAATAGATTTAGATAAAATCAATCATTTAATCATAATATTCCATTGGGAGAAATGTGATCAAATATATTGTATGAAAACTTTAAAATAATACAAAAAACAAGAAACCATTTTCAAACATTGTTAAGACAACAAATTATGCCTAAAATTATTTTTAAAAATATTTGTAGAGTTGTATATTCTTTTTATTTTTTATATATGGTTTCAAATAAAAAATGAAATTAAAAGGCAAATCATCAGTGCTTTTTCTGGCAAAGTTAATACATTTAATATGGCAATTATTTGTTAACTGTAACTGTCCTACATGATTAAGCCTTGAAAGTAATACAGTGAATTGAGTTAATAGTTTATAACCAAAAGGGGATAAACTTCCATATATATTTTCAATATTACATATTAGTTTTCACAAAAAAATGCAGCCTCACGTTCTTGGGAAAATAAGGTTCCCAATGACTAAAATCTTTGAGTTGTGTAAATATTAAACCCATTTGTCTGTCTTTATTTAGTTGGAGTTTTTATGATGAGATTTCTGCTTGAGAATTCTATCATTCTGCACCTTGTTATTCTATCATGCATTTTGGTATATTCGATAAATCATATTACTTCATCATCATTTAATATATTTTCATTTACTTTCCAAATTGTACAGGGTACAAGACTGAGAATAATTGCTCCATATTTGTCAATGAGGTCAAACTCACAAATGTGAAGTTGGATTCATGTTTCTTTCCTAATTGTCCATTCACATTTCTTGTGTATTTCAGATCCTTAACTCAGTAATTTCCCTCAAATTTCTTCCCTTCCCCTATTTAGATCACTTGTCTTCCTCTGTGATTCAGTAAATAAAACTCTTCGACAGGAAAATTTTTTTAATAAAATTACTTAAATTTCCATCTAATTAGTAGGAAATAAAAATCTTTAATATGACACTCCTTTTCATTTATAAATTTGTGTATAGGATGTGTAAGTGTATTTGTATGTAGCTCGTGTGTGTACACATACCCAGGATATTGTCTGTATTTCAAGGATAAAAACTGTATAGGGGTTGAGTTGGGAGAATAAAATCATCTCACTTGTTCCATGCAAGTAAGATGTGTTGCATAAACTCATGTTGAAATATCTCACAACCATGAAAACTAAATGCATGGAGTAAA